TCTTGTTGATTTACGCAAATTTTTGCAAATTTTTGCATGTTTTCGTATGTTTTTGATTTTTGTCGTTCGTAAATATTCATAATTTTATCCATATATTCGCTAGTTTTCGACTATTTGCATTTTGCTACATTTAAATTTACTAAGCTGTAAATGTTCATAATTATTACTCCTATGTAATACTCCAAAATTCTATAGTGTAAACTTTCGTAATTATTACCCTTACGTAATACTCTGAACTAATTGTAAGTTTTTCATAAGTTTACGCTCATGTAAAAACTTACGAAGGTTTATGTATATTTTTTTTTGCTGATATATAATTTCTTTTCATATACTATTTAACTCTTTTTTCAAAGTTTTTTATTTTTTCTTCCTAGTACTTGCTACTGATTTGAAAAAATTTGCAAAAATAAAAGACAAATGTAAAAGTTAGTAAACTGGAAGAAAACAAACCAAAAAAAAAAATCCTATATAAAAGATTTTACTCTACCGGCTTAAATATGAATGTTTTAAATAAAAAACCCTACCTACTTATCCATTTGCTACAAAAACAAAAGACAAATGTGAAAGTTAGTAAACAAGAAAAAAATCTTTAAAGAAACCAAAAAAAAAAAAAAAAGACTTACAAATCTTGATAAAAGATCAGTTTGAATATGAACATCCCAAATAAAAAACCCACCTGCTTACTAGTTTGAATAAATTTGCAAGAATAAAAGACAAATATAAAAGTTAGTAAACCAGAAGAAGAAAACAAAAAAAAAAAAAAAAGACTTACAATCCTGTATGAAAGATTTTACTCTACCGGCTTAAACATAAATGTTCCAAATGAAAAACCCCAACCACATACCCACTTGCTACAAGAATAAAAAACAAATGTGAAAGTTAGTAAACTAGAAAAAAACCTCTGAAAAAACTAAAAAAAAAAAAGAAAAAAAAGACTTACAAATCTTATATAAAAGACTGGCTTAAATGTGAACATTCTAAATAAAAAACCCCACCTGCTTACCAACTTGCTACTAGTTTAAATAAATTTGCAAAAATAAAAAACAAACATAAAAGTTAGTAAACTGGAAGAAAAAAAACAAAAAAAAAAGAACTTACAATCCTGTATGAAAGATTTTATCCTACTGGCTTGAATATGAGCATTTTAAATAAAAACCCCACCCACTTACTCACTTGTTACAAGAACAAAAGACAAACATAAAAATTAGTAAACCAGAAAAAAACCTTGAAAAAAAACAAAAAAAAAAAAAATTTACAAATCCTGTACAAAAGACTAGCTTAAATATGAACATCCTAAATAAAAAACCTTACCCACTTACCAACTTGCTACTAGTTTAAAAAATTTGCAAGAATAAAAAACAAACATAAAAGTTAGTAAACTGGAAGAAGAAAACAAAAAAAAAAAAGATTTACAATCCTGTATAAAAGATTTTATTTTACTGACCTGAATATAAGCATTTTAAATAAAAACCCCACCCACTTACCCACTTGCTACAAGAACAAAAGACAAGTATAAAAGTTAGTAAACTAGAAGAAAATCTTGGAAGAAAATAAAAAAAAAAAAGACTTACAAATCTTGTATAAAAGACCAGCTTGAATGTAAACATCCTAAATGAAAAACCACATCTGCTTACCAACTTGCTACTGGTTTAAATAAATTTGCAAGAATAAAAAACAAACACAAAAGTTAGTAAACTAGAAAAAAAAAAAAAAAAAAGACTTACAATTTTGTATAAAAGATTTTACCTTACTAGCTTGAATATAAATATTCTAAACAAAAAACCCACCTACTTACTACCAGGATAACTGAATTTGCAAAAACAAAAAACAAACATGAAAGTAAGTAAACCGAAAGAAAACCTTAGAAAAAAAAAAAGAAAAAAAAAAACATACAAATCTTGTACAAAAGACTGGCTTGAATATGAATATTCTGAATAAAAAACCCACCTGCTTACCTACTTGCTACTAGTTTGAATAAATTTGCAATAATGAAAGACAAATGTGAAAGTTAGTAAACTAGAAAAAAAAACAAAAAAAAAACCTATCTTACTAGCTTGAATATGAATGTCCTAAACAAAAAATCTCATCTTTTGCTACCGAGTTAACTGAATTTGCAAGAACAAAAGACAAATATGAATTTAGTAAACTAGAAGAAAACAAAAAAAAAAAACTTACAAATTTTGTACAAAAAATTTTATCCTACTAGCTTGAATATAAATATCTTAAACAAAAAACTTACCACTTATCCACTTGCTACTGGTTTGAACGAATTTTCAAGAACAAAAGATGAATTTACAAAAAAAAGCAAAGATTAAATTTATTAAACCAGGTAAGTAAATTAAAAAAAAAAGATATACCAAATATATCAAATTCCAACTAAAATACTTTACCTCTACGCTTGAACGTTCTGAAGAAAAATCTCAAGCACTTATTAACAATGCAATATATCATTTAAACACTTTATAAAAATAATAAAAAAATAATAAAAAAATAAAAAAATATAAAATACATATTATAAATCCATAATGCCAAAAAGTAAAATCTAAAGCATTAAAAAGAAGCAAAATCCACAATACCAGGAATACACAAAACACTTATTACAGACAAAGGTATACAATACTAAAAAAAATGAAATTTCAATATAGAAACTTGCTAAAAAAATCATATTAAAGAAAATATAAACTATATACAAACTTTACATAGTAAAAACCTAACAATTAAATTTATTCTAATTTTGTTAAAGCACTAATAACTTTAGCAATAGTTCCAAAAAAAAAAAATCAAATATTAATAATAAAAAAAATCAAACCAAAAAATTTATTTATATAATTGTCAATTTTAATGTGATTGGCTGATTATATAAGGGTTGCTATAGCAACGGGTTACTAATTATAATTTTTCAAAAAGTTTAATAGTTGTAAAGATATTTTTGCTTAAAGTTAGAAAAAAATTAAACTACTTATAAAAATAGAAGCTATAAAAAAAAATTTACAGTTGTCACCCTCTCCAAGTAGCAGGTCTAGAGTTCAAATCCTATGGACGATAATATTTGAAAAATAAGCCTGTGTTTGGTTAATGGCTATGCTTATCAGTTGAATTTAAAATTTAATTTGTAACTTCGGTCACACTATCTAGAAATGGGAGCTTTGGCACAATAAATCTGAAGAACTAGTATAACCAAAAACCTATTTGAAAAGTTCTGAATTTGGAGATAATAGTGATCTTTGACAGTACTACAGGAAGACTGAATTTGAACTAGGGCCTGAAATTAGAGAACCAAGCAATTAGGTTCTTAAGTGGGAGGATATACTAACCAAACCACCAATTTGAAAAACTTGGAACTTGTGGCAGGTATATCAGTGACACCAACAGGTCACCAACATAAGGGAAGATTGGTAGCAGAAGGCTTTACCCTGGCAGACTATAGGTTTGAAAGTCCTGGGCCTAGCGGCACTAACGAAAAATATACTAAGTACTCTGGAGAACCAGGTACTGCGAGTTGGAAAAAAGGACACATGCTATAAAAGTGTGTACCAAGGCAAAACAGGCTAAAGGCACCTAGAGCTAGGCCTAGTTCGAACTTTCTGGGTTGTTGGTTGGAAGTAAGGAATAAACTGATAGAGAATCTGGATAAGAAGATAGTTGAAATATGAGTACTGGAGTTGTTGTAAACCATATAAGAGCAAAAATATATAATAGATGACTAATTAGAAAGGTTGTGGTTTAAGATATGGATCGGGTTATAGCAGTATCCCAAAAAGTTGACTTAAAATATGAATCTAGTAATGGCAGCATAACAAGTACTGTTAGGAAGAAATTACCGAACATGCAGGTAAAAACATGTGTAGAACATGGACTACTCTGTTAGGTTTATTTTGAAGATAGACTAAACCTCTAATAGGAATTAGTAAGTCCTAGGTAGGATATTTATATATAGTGTGTCATATTAAAAGTATAATAATAGTATGTAATAATTTAATAACCTAATAAAGAACTCTGGCCAAGAGGTCATCTTAATACCAAAAAAAATAAAATAAAATTTACAACTACTTAACCAAATTTGACAAAAATTTTTTTATTTAAATTCTATAAATTTATAGAACTTAAATAAAAAGTTTTTATTGATTTTGATTAGATAATTATAAAGATATCTCTACTCAAAGTTATAAAAAAATCAATTTGTCTATAAATTAAAAGCTAAGCAATTTTTTTAAAAAATTTAAGCAAAGATATTTTCACAAATATCTAACCAAATTCAATAAAATTTTTTTAAATTGAATTTTATAGATTTATAAAAATTCAAATAAAAAATTTTATCAGATTTGATCAAGTGGCTGTAAATATATTTTTACTTAAAGTTAGAGAAAGTTCAAACCACCTATTAAAACAAGCTATACATGCTAATGAAATTATATCAGGTTTTAGGGAATAAAATTATTTCATATCCCAAATTAACCCAAAATACTTTTGAATTAAAAACGAACCTCAAAATTAAAAACTATATATAAATAGTATAAACTAGTTTAATAAGCAATATGTGTGATATGTAATTAAATTTTAATAAGTTCATTGGAATTATTTATTAATATAGTTACAGCTAGTATTAGATTGTCAATTTTTATTATAATTTGAAGTAAAAATTTCTATTATAGAACTTGCTATTCAGTGATTACAGTATGTGGTCATAGTTGAGTTTATTGTATTAGAATTATTATTACAGTTAATCACATATTTTCTTAAAACACAATTATTAAAATGAATAGAATTAAACTTCGTACTCATTTTGATAATTTATTAAACAATTGAATGATCATGATTAATCAATATATTGTAATACAATGTTAGAATAAATTAAATTAAACTGAGGTGTGGCGACTTAGTGTAGTGGTCTAGTTGTCACTCTCTCTAAGTAGCAGGTCTAGAGTTCAAATCCCACAAACGATGAATTTTGAAAAATAGCTTGTGTTACGGTTTACGGTTATTGAATCAGTTGAATCTAGAATTAAATCTGTAATCTTAGTCACACTATCTAGTTATGGGAGCTTTGGCGCAATAAATCTGAGAAACCAGAATAACCAAAACCCATTTGGCAAGTCCTGAATTTGGAAGTAGCAGTGATCTTCGACGGTACCACAGGAGAGCTGAATTCAAACCGGGGCCCGAGATCAGAGAACCAAGTGACAGGTTCTTAAGTAGGGGGACACACCAGCCGAACTGTGGATCGACACACCAGAGAAAAAGGGCATACGCTCTAAAAGTATAAACCAAAAGGAGGGTGACCATGAGGTACTTAAAGCCTGGGCAGACCAACCCTTCCGAGTTGCCGGCTGGAAGTAAAGGAGGGACCGATAAAGAATCTGGGTAAAAAGACGGTGCAAATGTGAGTATTAGAGTTGTTGTAAACCGAATAAGGGCAAGGAGTACATAATAGGTGCCTAGTTAGGAAGGTTGGTGCTTGAGAAACGTCTGTAGAATAACAGCACCTCAAAAGGTGGTATGAAATACATATATGGAATGGCAGGTCAATATATACTAATTAGAAAGAAGTTATAGAAACAAGCATGTGAATATATGTGTAGGACATGTACCGCTATATTAGGTTTACTTCGAAGATAGTAAAGTGTTCTAAGGTAGAGTGCAAAATCTAATTAGGTGATACCAAAATCCAGCGTATGAATAGTAAGGAAACCTATCCCTTAAATTGTTTTGCAGCCAAATTTGCTTACAAATTTTTTTAAATTTTAAAATTTTTTAATAAAATTTTAAATATTGATTTTAGCTATATATTTTCTAAGTAAAATA